CTTTCTTTCTGAATTACTGCACCTTCCTGTCTTCTCATCTTTACTTTTGGGCAAATGTTGCCATTTTGATCTTGTATAATAGATTGTTCTAAGGAACACATTTCTCTTGGGTGTTGTTGTTTATTTTATGGGCATGTCCGTGGTTTGGCTAATAGGCGTTCTCTGGTAATGGCTTCAGTTCCAGTTCAGAATGGTGTCTTAGGGCCATAGTCTTGGGGGTTCCTTCAGTCTCTGTCAGACCAGTAAGTCTGGCCTTTTTTATGAATTTGATTTTTTGTTCTGCAATTTTTCCCCCACTTTGTTCAGGACCCTCTGTTGTGATCCCAGTCAGAGTGGTCAGTACTGGTACCCGGGCACCATGTAGTTCTTCTGGTCTCTGGGTCACATAGGCTATGGTTCGTGTGGTCCATTAGTCTTTTGGACTAATTGCTCCTTTGGGTCTTTGATTTCCTTAATTCTCTTTTGCTCCAGATGATAAGAGACTGATAGTTGTATCTTAGATGGTCAGTCGCATGCTTTTAAGACCCCGGACGATACTCACCAAGTAGGATGCAGAACTTTGTCTTTATGAACTATGTTGTGCCAAATGACATAGATGTCTCCCGAGTCTATGGTCCTTCGCCTCTGAGCCTAAGACCTTCGTCCCATGAGGTGTTTGGTTATGTCTAAGAAGTTTCCTCGACTGTGGCCCTTGTGTGCTGTGTTGTCTACATTGATGTATAAGCATCACCTACACTTATGTATGTAGAAATATCCACCACCAAACCTATATCTGCAGATGGGCATGTCCCTTAACTCTCGCACACCTTGTCATAACTATCTAGCTATGTACCTATTCGTAAATTAGTGTTCGTTAATACTATTTTTGCAGGATTGTCTATGCTATAGTAATTACTCTTGTTGCCCTTTGTTCTTGCATTCCTCTCAGTGTCCTCCCATGCCTTGGTCATATTTTACTGACTTCCCCCATATTGTTGACTATTTCTTGTAAGGATGGTCTGGTTTTTTACAAATTCCCGTAATTTCTGTTTATCTGAGAATATTAATTTTGCCATCTTGTTTAAGAAACAGTCTTGCTGGGTATATGATTCTTGGTTGGCAATTCTTTTCTTTCAGGATTTTGTGTATGTTATCCTATTGCCTTCTTGCTTAAATGGTTTCTGCCAATAAATTAGAGGTTAGTCTTTTTTTTTTTTTTAATTTTATTGCGCTTTAGGTAAAAGTTTATAGTGCAAGAGGTTAGTCTTATTGGAGTTCCTTTGTAGGTGATATTTCATTTTTCCCAATCTGCTCTCAGAATTCTCTCTTTATCTTTAGACTTGGAAAGTTTGATTATGATATGTCTTGGTGACTTTCTTTTGAGGTCTATCCTGTATGGGATTCATTGAGCTTCTTGGATGGAAATCTCATTTCTCATGATATTGGGCAGGGCGGGCAGCTGAGTAGCCAGGGGCCACGCAGGAACTCTCTCCCACCGGGGTGGGAGTGCGTGGACAGCCAGTAGCACACAGGTGCTCTCTCCAGCAGGGGGAGGGGCGGGGTGGGGAAATGTATTATCTTTTAAGAAAGAAATTAATACATTTAAATTAAAATAAGAAGCTAGCCCTTGAAGTCTTCTTCAAACCAAACAATAGTTTAGCTTAACTAGTAAAGAATGTCTGCCTTGAGCATTGTGCTCTTTTTAGATCTATCTATATGGGATCTAATTGACAACAGCAACTCAAAAGATTAGATAGGAGCCTTAGGGGACAGTGAGTTCATGTCAGTGGGGGAGGAACAACTCGGAAAAGGAGGATGAGAATGTTTGCACAACTGAAAGAATGCAATCAATGTCCCTGAATTGTAATTGTAGAAACTGTTGAATTGGTGTATGTTTCGCTGTACAAATTCTCAACAACAACAAAGTAAATAAAAATCTAAAAAACAGCATGCTTCATAAAAAAACAAATTGACAAATCAGATTCCATCAAAATTTAATTCTTTTGCTCTGCAAAGACACTGACAAGAGAATGAAAAAACAGGCCACAGACTGGGATAAAATGTTTGCAAAACGCATATCTGATAAAGGCTTTGTACTCAGATTATATAAAGAACTCTCGAAGCTCAATTATACGAAGACAGACAATCCAATTTAAAAAGAGTAAAAAGATATAAACAGACACTTTATGAAAGGAGATCTACAACAGCTAACAAATACATGAAAAAATACTTAATATCTGTGGTGAAATGAGTTCCTTTAGGTGGCCTTTTGCCTTGATTCTTTGGAAAAACAGCTTGAGAGATTTCCCCCCTAAACCGCGAAGAGTCACCTTGGCCCTAGTTTTCTACCCCAGAGGGTTTGTTGCTTTTGTCCAGGTTGATTGACATTTCCTGGGCAAGCTGAAAACAATTTGATGGTTTGATACTTTTTATCTGGTACTGGTCTGCAGCCTACTCTATGATTGGTATGTACCTTGCAGGAATTGGTCAATAGGCTACACAAACGAAGTGTTTGTAGACTTTTATACAAATGAAGTGTCTGTGGCCTACCAAGAGCAGATTGGTCAATTTGTGCTGGGAAGGCCATGCCTTGAAATTGACAAGGAGTTGTGTATACATGCAGCCATCCCCACAGAGGTTTTTGAAACAGAAAGAAGCAGAAAGAAGAGAGAAACAAGAAGCAGCAGAGAGAGAGGAAGCAAGGAACCTTCTAAAAGAGCTGTAACGTGTCAAGGGCTGTAACACTGAAGACAGCAACAGGCCTGGAAAGGGGCCTAGTGGCACAGGTGGTGGTAACAGATGGTGGGACCAACAGGAGCCTGTCCTGAGAGGGCTGAAAGGAGGCCTGCACAGCCAAGAGGGGCTGAGAGAGCTGTCCTACACTGAAGAAGGGAGACTTTCTCTACATGTTTCCTGATGCTGATCCCAAGCTATAGTCTGTTAAATCCATTGCTGTTGAGTGGATTCCAACTCATAGCAACCCTACAGAACAGAGTAGAACTGCTTCATAGGGTTTCCAAGGAGTGGCTGACCTCTTGGTTAGCAGCTGAGCTCTTAACCACTGTGCCACCAGGGCTCCTCTTGACTGTTACTTCCTTAATAAACCACTTAACTGTAAGTATGGTTTATGAGTTCTTTGTGGTCATTGCAATGGATTATTGAACCCAGAGGACAAGTAGAGAGTGCCGTGGGAGAGATGGCTGGTGTCAGAACTGGTAAAAAGGTTGGAGGGTGGAGGAGGCATGTTTGATGTCCACCTCACAGGAATCATTTTTGGGCTGATCCTGGTCATTATCTCCCCTGCAGTTAGACAGGTTCTGGTGCTACTACTACTACTATTTTACAACATCATTAGCCATTGGGAGATGCAAATCAAAACCACAATGAGATATCAGTATGCACTTATTAGAATGGCTAAAAAACAAACAAAAAAAACCAAGGCTACCATGTGCTACTGTTATGGATTGAATTGAGTCCCCCCAAAAATGTGTGTCAACTTGGCTAGGCCATGATTCCCAGTATTGTGTGATTGTCCACCATTTGGTCACCTGATGTGATTTTCCCATGTGTTATAAATCCTACATCTATGATGTTAATGAGGCAGGATTAGAGGCAGTTATAATAATGAGGCAGGACTCAGTCTACAAGATTAGGTTGTGCCTTGAGTCAATCTCTTTTGAAATATAAAAGAGAGAAGCGAGCAGAGAGATAGGGGGACCTGATACTACCAAGAAAGCAGAGCCAGGAGCACAGCATGTCCTTTGGCCCAGGGGTCCCTGCCTGAGAAGCTCCTAGACCAGGGGAAGATTGATGACAAGGACATTTCTTCAGAGCCAGCAGAGAGAGAAAGCCTTCTCTTGGAGCTGGCGCCCTGAATGCAGACTTCTAGCCTCCTAAACTGTGACAGAATAAATTTCTCTTTGTTAAAGCCACCTACTTTTAGTATTTCCGTTATAGAGGCCCTAGATAACTAAGACAATCCTGATGCCTCATATAGTCCAGCTTCTTGGATTATTTGCTCAGCATACACATTGAGTACATATGGTGAAAGGATACAACTCTGATATACACCTTTCCTGATTTTAAACCAGGCAGTATCCCCTTGTTCCGTTCGAAGGACTGCCTCTTGGTCTATGTACAGGTTCTGCAAGAGCACAGTTAAGTGTTCTGGAATTCCCATTCTTCGCAATGTTATCCATAATTTGTTATGATCCAAAAAAGTGGAAACAACTCAAATTTCTATCAACAAATGAATGAATAAAGGAAAATATGGTGTATCCATACCATGGAATAGTACTGAGTAATAAAAAGGAATGAAGTACTGATACACCCTGCAACATGGATGAACCTTGAAAACATTATGGTACGCAAAAGAAGCCAGTCACAAAGGACTACACAGTATAGGATTCCATTTATATGAAATATCCAGAAAAGGCAAATCTATAGATTCAGAACATAGATTAGCAGTTCCATGAGTCAGAATAGATTTGACAGCGACTAATAACAACAACAGGGCTGACTGAGGGGTGATGGCTAACACATGTTGTTGTTGTTGGGTGCCATCGAGTCAAAATTGACTCACAGCTACCCCATGTGACAGAGCAGAACTGCCCCTTAGGGTTTTCTAGGCTGTAATCTATGAAAGCAGATCTCCAGGTCTTTCTCCCACAGAGTCCCTGGGTGGGTCTGAACTACCAACCTTGCAGTTAGTAGCCAAGGGCTTAACCATTTGTGCCACCAGGGCTCCTTGGCTAAAGCATACAGGGTTTCTTTTTGGGGTAATGAAAATATTCCAGAACTGATCCTGATGATGGATGACAACTCTGTGAATATATGGAAAACCACTGACTTGTACACTTTAAATAAGCGGGCGAGTTGTCTGGGATGTGAGTTATATCTTAATAAAGCTGTTACCAACAAAAAAAAACAACCTCATACGCTAAAAAAAAAATAAATAAATGTGCACTCTCTGTTCCAGCCTCGGCTCTCCCTATCGCGCCTCCTCCCCGCTCCGCAGGTACCTGACTTGGGGTAGGTGACAATGAAGATGTCGTCGTCCCGAACGTCGGACGCGTTCTCCACGATGCTGATGCTGTCAGGTGAGTAGAGGCCCACGGGGAAGGGAATGCCCTTGTACCTGAAGTATTCACCTGGTAACTTCTCGCTGTGGGGGAGGGGAGACACCATGAGAACCAGGGAGGCAGTGAAGGGCACAGGGAGGGTGGGGAATCAGGTGTCCTGGAATTCTGCCCCAGGGTGTCCAGCTTTACAGCTGAGGCTTCTGGGACCCACCGTGGAAAGTGGTAGAGAAATCTCAGGGCAGATGTGGGAGGGCAAGCAAGCAGGTGGGCAAGAGGGCCCTCAGGGCTGCCCTACTTGCTAGCAGAACTTTCTCTCATTTCTTGGCCTCATTTTCTCACCTGCAAAATAGGGGCATGATGATGTCCACTAGTGAGCGCTTTCCACACTTATCTTTGACCCAGGACTCCCTGGGTGGCACAAAGGGTTTGGGCTCAATGACTAAGACTGACCCCAGCAGCACTGCAGAAGAAAGGCCTGGCGATCTGCCACCATAAAGATTCCAGCCAAGAAAACCCTATGGAGCTCAGTTCCACTCTGTAACACCTGGGGTCACCATGAGTCTGAATCAACTCAGTGGTGACATGTTTGGGTTTTGAAGCTCATACCATTTGGAGTCAATAGTTGCGACTACAAAAGTATTTAGAATGAGAAAAGAAACGACAGCAATTTGCTACATTTTGAAAGCTGACAAAACCCAACAAATATCTCAGAAAAATAACAGACTGGCTTCTGGCTCCAAACACTTCACATCTTGTGTCTGCTCCTCCACCACCATGTACCTGTAGTGACAGGTACCATTGTTACTGTTGTCAGTTGAAGTCGAGTTGATTCCACTTCATGGTGACCCTATGTGTACAGAGTTGAACTGTTCCATAGGGTTTTTAAGGCTGTGACCTTTCAGAAGCAGATCACCAGGGCTTTCTTCCAAGGTGCTATTGGGGTCAAACTGCCAACCTTCCTGTTAGTCATTGAGCGCAAACAGTTTGTGCCATCCAGGGATCCCAGTATAAGCTTCAGGCCCCACAAAACCCAGATCTGCCCTGTCTTAACCACACTACGCTGAGCTACTTTCCGTCCGTGTCCCTTTATCGTACACTTAGGACAATATGAACTTAAAAACATTACGTGTGTAAGTAAGCCATAAAAACCCAATAAACCAAACCCATTGCCGTCGAGTCAATTCTGACTCATAGCGACCCTATAGGACAGAGTAGAACTGCCCCATAGGGTTTCCAAGGAGCGGCTGATGGATTCGAACTGCTGACCTTTTGGTTAGCTGCCTGAGCTCTTAATTACTTGTGCCAAGTAAGCTACATCGTCTACAGATTTCATTTTAGGACCACAACAAGGATGGTACAACTATTTGCTCTATAAAGGGGCTTTGGCCAACCACACAGATGATACTCAGGAATAGAATGTTGAGTGAAGCACAAGGGACACTGAAGAGTCCGCATGGTGTGATTCCACTGACGGGAAGTTCCAGAACAAGACACAGTAATCCATGGTGTTAGATGCCAGGATGTGGCTCTCCTTCTGGGGGTGGGGGGTGGGGGTGACCAAGGGAAAGGGACAGGAGGGGACTTCTGGGGAGTTGGTTACCCAGTGTCCCAACTTTGCAAAGTTCATTGAGCTGTCCACCAAAGCTCTGTGCATTGTACTCGTGTGAATTTTATTTTAAGAACATGTTAAATGAATGAATAAATCATTAAAGGGGAAATTAAAAAAAAAAAAAGAAACCTCTTCTACTAAAACAAACATGTTTTTAATAAAAAAGGAAGTGAGATGTTGGGCCTGATGAGGTTGAAAATCCTGCTGGTTTCTATATGCGTTTTCCATGAGCGCCTCCTCATTGCCCAGCTGACAGATGAGGAAACCAAGGCCCACTGGGGGTGTGACTTGCTCATGGGGCTCAGTGTCTTTACTGAAGGCCTCCATTGGCTTCAGAGTCTTGAGGGATGGAGAGTTTCCCCGAGGCCTAGTACCAAGGTGAGGCTTGGAGCAGACGGACGTAGGCTGGAGACTTGTGCCCTCCGTCTGGGCTCGAAGGAGGACTCTGGGGACCCCAGGGAGGTACAGCCCCGCCCGCCAGAATTTCCAGTGGGCAACAACCTAAGGGGAGTTACAAGGGCGTCTGTGGGGGAAGCTGGGTGCGTGGGTTGTGGCCTGCCGACTGGGCGTGATCCAGTGGGGACAAGGAGGGCTGGTTACCATACTGTCCACACAGGGGATTCTGGGCCTTAGAAGCTTTTAAAGCCCCTGCAGGGGATTCTGGACTTTGGGAGTCTTTAAAGCCCCTGCATGGGATTCTAAAGGGCAGCTGGGCTGAGAAATACTGAGGCAGGTGTATCCAACTGATACAGGTATTTTCTGAGTATCCAAACTGGTACAGATGTGGGTCAGAGTGTGGTCCTAGAACTGGACATCATTGGCTCAGCCCCTGGCTTTGCCACTTTTTAGCTAAACTGAGGCCAGTTACTTAATCTCTCTGTGCCTCAGTTTCCTCAACTGTAAAATGGGGATATGAGAGGTGGCGTAGTGTCATGGTTAATGGCACAAACTCGAGAGCCAGACTACATGAGTTTGAATCCTACATCCCACCAGCTGTGTGTCTTTGGGCAAGTCACTTCTCTGTGCCTTGGTTTCTTCATCCATCGAATGGAGATAATAATAATCATTACCTCATAGGATTATTGTGAGCATATACAGTACTTAGAACTGCAAGGTTTAAGTACTTATGAAGGTTTGTTAAATTAAAAAAAAATAGGAATGGGGGAGGGTTCAATGAGTCAATAGACATAAAAATGGCTGAAACAGTGCCTGCCTCATAATCTGCGTTTAACAACTTTGAGCTAAAACTGTTATTGTTATCATATGCAGTAATAGAGGCAACATTGGGCCTTACACGAGTTCAGAGGAGGGGCTGCTTGGCACAGTTTTCAATGGCTGATTTTCTGGAAATCGATCACCAGGCCTTTCTTCTGAAGCGCCTCTGGGTGGACTCGAACCACCAACCTTTCAGTTAGCAGCCGAGTGCATTAACCATTTGCACCACACAGGGATTCCATTACGATACTACAGATGAGAAAATGGAGGTCCAGGGAGGGGAAGTGATTTGGCCAAGGCCATACAAGTACAGAGCAGAGCTGGGATTTGAACTTAGGTTGATGTGGTCCCTCAGCCCTGTGGGCAGTTTCTGTCTCCCTCTCCATGCACCCCACGCTCCATCCACAGCCCCCACTGCATGGAGCACGAGTCCCTCCTCCGGGCCATAGACCTGCCGAGCCTCCTGCCAGGAATGCCTTCCCCTGCGGCCATCCGTGCTTGCAAGCGGGGTGAGGGAGCCCCCGCCCAGATTCCTGCCTGGCTAATTTCTCTGTGTGTGTCCTCAGGCAGGTGCTGTGGGCCCTCTCTTCCCACCTGGTAAATTAAATCTGGCCCCTGGGTGACTTCCCCTCTCCTTGGCTCACAAGCCTGTTTTGTTCCCACACTGTGTCCAGGGGCTGGCATGCAGCTATGGCTCCATTTGAGCCAAGGAATAAAGACGACGATATTACTGGGTCGGAGAACGGCAGCAGCAGGGGTTGGCGCTCCTGCAGAAGGAGCAGCAGACCAAGCTGCAGCCGACAAGACTGAGGCTATAGGAGTCACTGGATGGCACAACAGTTAAGCACTTGACTACTAGCCAAAAGGTTGGTGGTTCTAACCCACTCAGAGGGGCCTTGGAAAACAAGCCTAGATATCTGCTTCGGAAAGGTCCCAGCCTTGAGAAACCTATGGAGCAGTTCTGCTCTGCACACATGGGGTCCCGTGAGCCAGGATTGACTCTATAGCAACTGACGACAACAACAACAACGCTGGCACATCTGAGGGCTCCAGCCTGGGTCCCAGTCCCTGTGCAATAAAGGACTGGTATTGTTGTGTACAGTATCGTTGAGTTGATGGTGACTCATAGCGACCCCATGTGACAGAGTAAAAGTGCCCCATAGGGTTTTCTAGGCTGCAATCTCTACAGGAGCAGATTGCCAGGTCTTTCTCCTGTGGACTAGCTAGTTGGGTTTAAACCACCAACCTTTCGGCTATTAGCTGAGCGCTTAAACCTCTCGCCACCCAGGGACTCCTAAAACACTAGCTGTAGTCATACTCAGTTAAGGGCCTGGCCCCAGCGGGGCGGGGGTGGGGCAAGGGAACTATGCTTTATGGAAATTCTATGCCAAGGACATGCATTATCAGACTTCTCCCAGAATATCATGAGGTGAGCATTTATGGAAGCCCAGAGGGGTTAATACAGCTCCCCAAGGTCACAGAGCAGCCTCCAAAGAAAGCCTCAGTAAGTAATTGCTAATGAGGGTCCACGCCTCTCTCTGACACTAGGATTTGAGCCCCAGGTGGCAGGGATGTGTCTGTTTTGTTCACTGCTTTTTTTCCCAATGCCTGGCACAAAACAGGCATGACCCATCCCCCAAGTCAGAGCCCCTAGTGATGGGGAAAGGAGCCCTGGTGGCACAATGGTTAAGCGCTCGGCTGCTAACCGAAAGGTTGGCAGTTCGAACCCACCCAGTGACTCTGTGGTAGAAAAGACCTGGCTATTTGCTCCTGTAAAGATGACAGTCAAGTAAACCTCATGGGGCAGTTCTTCTCTGTTATGTGGTGTTGCTATGAGTCAGAATCAACAGCACCCAACAACAACAGGTGATAGGGGCTCAGTCATCCTCTCCAGAGGCAGCCAAGTTCACGCAATGGGGAGGGAAGATGGACTGGAGTTGTTGGACAGACTCGGATTGGAACCTGGGCTTGGCTACCAACTAGCTGTGTGACTTTGAATACATGGCTTAACCTCTCTGTGCCTCAGTTTTCTCATTTGGAGGAAGAGTTTAGGAAAATGTTCCTTGAGGGGAAACTTGTAAGGATTAAAAACTGCCACCGCCTCTCTCCTGAACCATTGTAGTGACCTCCTCAAGGTCTTCCTGCTTCCATCCTGCCGTCTACCGTCCCTTCTCCCCACACGGCAGTCAGCTCACACCCTCTTCTGCTCAGAACCCTCCTGTGGCTCCCATCTCCCTCAGAGTGGAAGCAAAGTCCTCACCGGGGCCCATATCTGCTCTATA